ATTAAATATCTCTAATGTCATGTACATTTATCAATCAGGGTTATTTGTTATTAGATGCAAGGTTATGTGATTTTAATGAATTTTTATTTATGTACGTTGTAGTGGACTAGTTTGTATCGTTTATACACAACATCATGTTTTGAATTTGAAATGGAACTTGATAAAGATTAAATATAATTATTAAAGCAAGAAATCAATATTAGTTCAATTTTAGTTTTATTCAATATAATATATTACACAGTCATTTTTATCTTCTTGATTTCTATCAAAAATTTCATAATTGCAAAAAATTGTAAACATTTCATCTTATTAAGATGAAATATCATTTTCATAGAAAAAAACCAATATAATTTTAAATTTTTTTAAGATGATATTTATTATGTGTTGAATCATTGTAATAGTATGGATATTATCAAGATTAAAAAAATTGTATGGAGTTTTAATTTTTTCATCAACTTATCACATTTGCAATAGATTGTGAGATTTCATTGAATCTATTTTTATAAATATCTTGGTGCATTCCAAATTTTTTAGTTGATTGTAAATGAGATCTAATAATATTTTTTAATTTAAATATGCAACAAATCATATTAAAAATTGATGAAAAAGATTAAATGAAATTGAATTTTCAATCAAAAATTTCAAATAAAAGATGAAAAAATTAATTCTATTTTCATGTATTTCTGTCAATTTTAAATAAAATATCTAGATGTTAAATAATTTTTTTCAAAATAAACTAATGAAGTGAATATCTGTATCAGTGACTAATACTTTGCTTCAACCATGATTCACAAAAACTGCATCTAGATATGATTCAATTCGTTGTGCATTTGGTATTGTTTTTTCGGTAGGTTTGATGTGAATCATCTTGCTCAATTTCTCCACAAAAACACGAGTGAATCATGTAATAACAAAGTTTTTGATAATTTACATACCCATACTCCTACTGTTGTTTAGTAGTATGGTAGTTTGTGATAAACTAGCTGGTTTTTTATTACTTGTCTTGTTTTGTTGACAAAAACGTAATTTTGAATGTAAGACTCTACAAACTCTTGTTATCTAGGTCAATAGAATATTTATTATATGCTCTTTAAGGTATTCTACACTTCCACATGAATGTATCATGACTTTCGGCCAAAAATCATAGTGCGCAATTCTTGATATTAAGGATCTATATGCGCTGGTTGTATAATGACAAACATCAAGATTTTTCTGCCTTACTAATGTATAGTGCTCTAATAATTTTTTCATACTCCTTTCTAGTTTGTGTCATTTTGTTTCATCAATCAGCTTGAATTTTCAATTATGCAATATGATTCAGACAAGACATGCATGTGACAGCATCCGCAAGTTACTTCTTGCCATCTTCATACACAATTTTCATGTAGAAACGTTGATGTCACTCTATCAATCAAATTTTTCATTTAGATATATACTTTTAAGTTTTTAAATAAACCAAGGATTTATGATTGGTCTTTATCACAAAATCCTTATCATCCAAGTAATGTGTCTGATTTTTTATTGACCACATAATGGTTAACTACTCTCGCTCTATTGTGTGGTAAATTTGTTCCACTCTCACCAACTTTGGATTGCAATAACAATATACATTAACATATCATCTAGACTAACAATGACAGATTTATTTGGAGAAAGACAAAAGATATCGTTTATCAATACCATGAATGTAGTTGGTGCATTAGTGAGATCAAAAGTCATTACTTGATATTCAAAGTGTACATAACTACTCCTGATGGATATACCTAATGAGCACACAGATTGTTGATGTGTCTCTTTCAACTAACACACCAATTAGCATGCTCACTCTTTACACAGCAAGTACACGGATTGATGATGTGTCGTTCTGCAACCTCCGGGTTGATTTTCACTTAGGTTTAACTCAGGTAGCTTTGAGTTAACTCATTATGGTTCTAGAGGACTAGGATTTCTCCTTGTACTCATAGCCCAAACACTCTCTCACATAATTTCTCAATGTATCACTCCAAGTCACACACACATCCACACCCCAAGGTATTGAAATCGTTACTCTTTTATATATGAAACAATTCACTACATATAAAATCTCTAAACTTATTTGATAGGTTATTACTTTCCTCTCTATGCATATTACTAGAAAATTTATCATAGTAACAAATGATAATATCTATCTAACTTAGTTTTACATTTAAATCATAGTAAGGTTGATTAGTTATCAACATGTGGCAACATGCCATTGACCCCCTAAATCTTCTAGATGTTTACTAATCCTTAGATTGAGGTGACGACATGTCATTTGTGCCTTTCCAACTTCTAAAACCTCCACTTGCCACTAAGTCAACATTAGACTTAGTCTAACCAATGAACTTTCCCCTTACTTAGTCAAACCAATCAAAACTAAACATGAATAAAAAATCTTTTCTCTAAACTTTTGTACAAAAGAAAATAGAAATGCTCATCCAAATCTTCTAGAACTTCTCTAATTATTCCGCCAAGTATAGATATTATAGGTAAACATAGTTTTAACTTGATAAATTTAGTTATAATTATCTCGACTTAGTCATAACTAGCTAGACTTAGTCATAATTAGGCTAATCATGATTAACTTCTTGGCTACTTCTACTTCTATTTCACACATAGAACATCCGGTCTTACAATTCCCAACTAGCCAGTGGAATTGACGTGATCTTGTAGATATTTCATTATCATCAACCGTACTCAATCTTGAATAATCTCTACTTTAGTTTAACTGATAAAGATATTTATAGAAACTAACGAAGTTGTAAGCAAAATCATTCGATTAATAGACTCTTTCTAATCATATGTCATGTGCAAAACCAAATGGAAGTATTATGTATTATGTGGATTATGTAATAGCAAAAATAACAGCAAGATTATGATAATATATTTGCAAATGTGGAAATTGAATGTAAAGATGATGAATGTTGTAATTGACGGTGCAACTACATCACAATAGTGATGTAGTTGGAATAAAATGTATCAAACGCTTAGCAAAAATGAAACATTAGATGCAAGAGTAGATCTTATTTCACATGTAGTCAACATCTAAAATCTATCAATCCGAAATCAACAATGATTCATTCTGAGCATAAGTAGATGTAGTTAAGGCAGTTCGGCTTGAACCGCCTACATTCATCAGGCTTGATTATATGTTATGAAATCTAGTAGCTTTTAAAAATATCGACATTTGAAATGTTTTTCTCAAAGATACCAGATCATAAACAGAGTAAAAAACACTCAATCTTCTTTCACTTAGAAGTACAAAATTTTCAATAAATCGCACAAGAAATTTATCATAATATAACCTAATTAAAGCTTGGATACAAAAGTAATAGATTTCTAAAAGAAAAAGTTGAAGTATTAGAGTTATTTTTTATGAGTCTTAATTAATTCAATCAAAAGATAAATTTCAATTAAAATTGTTTATAATGAGATCATCAAATTGAATAAACAAAACAATTATAACATATAAATTATGAGATGATTTAATTATTTGTTTAAGATTGTGATATTGATAATAAGGATGATGATGTTTTTGAATTGATTTTGAAAAAAATAGAAATCTTTTTTATAATAAAACTCAAGTTTCTATCACCAAGCTTGAGTAAGATGTAATTTCGGATGGACAAGATTATCTAAGAGCCAGTGATTTCAATCAATGACAAATGATTATACAAATTTACAATCTTGAAAAGTAGATTGATGGTTAGAGTTTTGACACAAGAGTAAGATATGAATTACAATAAGATTTTCTTCCTTGCAAAACATCATGTTACAATTTGATAAGTATGTGCACTTGCTATAGTATTTAATTTGATATAAAATCAAATGAAAGCACATGAAGTAATCTACCGATACATAAATTGATATCCTGAGGATTTTGTGTATTTATTCGAGAGTCAAGTACTTAGACAAATCACTTCTTTACATAATGGAAGAAAGTGTCAAAATTGCCACACAATCTTCAATAGAACCTGCATCTCATTTATCTTCACTAACTCTCACATATACAATTACATATTTGTCCTCGTGAACCGATAGTCGTCGAGTTTGTACTCTTTTCAAAAGAATCATAAGGAAAGAACCTACAACGATATGTAGTAAATTTTTGAAAATTTCATGTATAATATTTAGAGATCAATCTAAGTTTAAAACCAAAATAAAAATTATACAGAAATCACCTAGGAAGTATCAAAATCTATTATAATACAATCTCTAATAAATAGAATCATTTCTTAATATATTGATTCCAATTTCATACTTCAACAAATCCGAGAATGGATTACTGTGTACTTCTAAATGTTTATTGTTCAATATGATCTGAAAAGGTATACAATATGATCCATGTTCACATAGTTTTTTTATTTCTATCTTCCGAAGTAATGTTTATACCAGGCGTATAAACATCAAACACAACAATTTTCAAAAGTTACGCAAATTGACATTCTATGATATTAGAATTAAATATATATTAGTTCACTTTTTTAGGAAAATTAAAAGTACTTACATGGGATGCAAACTTAAATAGTTGTTTATTTAACTGGCACATCAATTCAACATTCTATGTGTTTAAAAAACAAAAAATTATACAAAAGATACTGAATTGATTTTAGCAAAAATGTTTGGATAAATTCTTTTGTTAGTTGTCTCAACCATCACATGGATTGGACAAACTTCCATACAAAAGAATGAGATGTTTGATACATCCACATATTACAAGAGTTTTCACATGCTGTCAATGACCTATATTTATGTATAAAATGATTATATTTTCAATTATATTATTCTAATACTTAAGTGAATGTTATATTCATTTTGACAAAGATCTATTTATATTATCTAGAATATAATATGAATAATTATTCGTAAAGGTATAGGAAAAAAGTATTACGGTTAAATCAAGAGGACTATTTAATACCTTCGACTGACAGACTGTCTTCATGATATCTTGGGGAAACTCAGCACATCAATAGAAAACGCTTGATGAATAAGCCGTATTTCCATTCGATATCCAGTTATTTTTGACAAAAATGGACTTCAGCTTGGTCCACAGTATGGGCAAGTCTCACGTGAAACTTTCGACCGCCTACAGCGCCTATGCCTAACTCATTGGTAGCCTAATTAATTCTTTTGGATGGTTCCTATGTTGCCTATATCCACCGACGGTTTCACATTACACTGCATCAAAGGGAGTACCTGTCTTTCAATTCAGACCCTGTAGACAGTTTCCCAAAGAATTTCGGAGTGTCCAGAGCCCTGCGCTAAGAGACCTGGTGTGTCACATATCTTGTACAATAAAAAAATTCTGCACGTGCTAAGTTCGAAAATCGAACGACACAGCTATAGTCCAAAGTGGAAGATTAAAGTGCATGGCACAATATACAAATTACACTTGGGTTTTGTCGTCCTTAGTAGTGTCTTCCTTCCAAGTAGCTTGCCATTGCTTGTCGTAGAAAGTAGACTCTTTCGCCAAGTTTTTCAGGGTGTCCAAGTCTTCGTTCTTTCGGATGAGAAGCACTCCTCCAATGGTGATAAACAGTAGAAGCTTGCCAAAAAAGCTATTTTGCTGATCCACAAGACCAGCACCCGTGAGGCTGTCTACAAAGTAACCAGCAACATAACCAATCATGGCTGCGCGACCTGGGGAGACAAACATGAGAGTAAAGAGTACGTCAAAAACAAGACTCGAATATTACTCTCTATGTTAATAGGCACTTTCGTCGTTCAGCACCCGTGCAGACAATTCCCAAGAAACAGAACAACGTAACCATGTTCAATGTAGCCAGCTGGACATTACTAGGATTAATTTCCAAACTTCACATTGACAGCTTGTGGATATTCCGACTAACACATCAACAATTGGTTATAGAAACCGAAAACTTTCATAATTCGAAATATCTCTACAGGACACAGAATCTGTCTTTCACGTGACAGGGAATCTAGCGTCCACATAGTTCCTTCCGGAAAAGCGCTGCATCTGAAGGTAAATCAAAGTAAAATGTAATCACTACTGTGAGAATTATTCACATGCAGAAGGAGGCCAGCCCTCCTCTTATTGAATGAGAATTAAATTCGGAATATTGGCGTAGTTGAGTAAAATTTTCATTCTTGACTACCTTGGCACTCGCGAATAACAAACAGCTGAAAAGGCTTGACAAGACTCACCATTCAAAAGTTCGGCCTCAGGCAGGTGGAAGCGCTTGACCCAGGCCCACCATGGAACGGTAGAAGTCTCGAAGAGTACAGGTTCATCATTGCTAGAGGCCTCCGGGTTGTCCTCGAGCCATCGCCTTCTCTTCACCTCTGCGAAGTACCGGAGACAAAGCGGCTTTCGGATTAAGAGCTATGAGGCCGAAGATGAAATACATTAACAACACTCGGCACAAGAGGACGTATACAGCAAAGTGAGCAATTTCTAGATTTGGACAAACAGTCACAAGAACACGGCGAATCTCAAAGAAAAAGAGAAGTGAACCAACCGGCATCGATCACCCCATCCCAATGAACCTTCCCGTCCTTGGTGAACTGCTTGAGATCCCAGTTTCCTCCTATCCACCTGGGGTCGTCGAACTTGCCTCCATCAACAAGAGCTGTTTTCACGCCAAGAGTTGCTAAGCTAGGATCTTTCCCTAAAGCATCCTTGCCTCCAAGAGTACCTCCCCTCTGAAGCGCACCAGGTTTACGGTTCGGTTTTGTGGCGACGGCGGCAGCGCCTCCGACGCCGGGGGTCGGTGGCTCCTCTTCCAACAACGCGACTTCGGCGACCACACTATCCCCTGCGGCCCCTGATGCGCTTCCCTCTTCAGACGCCCTCACATTCAATCTCGAAGATAGTCTGCTTTGCCTGGAAGAAGCCTGCGATTTGAGAACTAGCTTCGAGGTCGGCAGAAATCCCTTAGAGAATGAGTAAGATTGAAAGCAGGGAGTTGTACTTTGCGCGGCGCCGAATGTCACGGGGAGAGAGACAGCGGCAGCCACTGCTGATTGTATCACAGACGGCGCCATCGCCGCCATCCGTCAATTCTACTCACAAGTTCGTCTGCACGGGCAACAAACACATATACAACATTTACAAGAAGGCTCGACGTCAAATTCGAAAGAGCTGGAGAAAATCGACACACAACATCCATCCGGAAAAGACAACCACAGCCTTCGACAGGCCAAGGGAGGAAGAAGAGCTTTCCACAAACAGGCTCACTCACCTCTAGCTCTCTTCGCTCGATGGTACTCGGGGTCGGAGAGCGTCTGGAAGAGCAAAACAATGATTTCGAGATTCAAGTCTGTAGAAGAAGGTGAGGTTGCAGGGCACGGTGGGCAGGAGCTGTTCTGACCGTCCTCAAGGGCGCGGGATTGGGTAGGGGGCCAGGTGGGCCAGCTCGGCGAGGCAAGCCGCGGTTGTGCAAGCTCTCCGAGAGGGTCGACGCCGACGCTGGAGGCGCTGGACGCCGGAGCCTTAGCCAGTCCATGTGGCGGTGTAGAGAGAGAGAAAAGTCCCCATCAAGATATGGTAGCGCTGACTTGGCTGGCGTTTATTTGTGTCCTCATCCACGCTGGCATGGGCACGCAGAACAGCAGAGCGGTTGAGAGAATCCTGCCCCAAGAGCTCCGGAGAGGAGGCTGATTGGACTCGGTCCAAGAGATGGACTTGTCCTGGCCTGAGGGATGATTGAGAGATTGTGATTGCGTTTGTGATAACCAATACACGAACACCGCCTAATTTCCCCTCCTCTCGCTTCTCTTCTTTCCGGAGTCCTGAATCACATTTCTTGTACTGCGGTTACCATTCGTTTGTAGACTCGGCAAATATACTTTACTCGTCACCATTTCACACAAGATCATACAAACAAGAACATTAACCAATCCTGGAAACCTTTCCACTTTACACAAACTCTATTGCCAAGCCCATCTTATGTTGGCCTTGAAACCATTATGTGTCCCCATGCATCGTCTTCCGTAAAAAGTTGAAAAAGACAGTGCTTAAGGCTACTCACCTCATGGCCAAAAAAAAAAAACTATATCACGCATATACTTTCCCCAATTATTTTAAATCTTCCTACCTAAATGCCACAATAGGGAGTTCCAAGAAAGAGAACAAGTTCTTCTAAAGTTGTACATGGTATGTGCTTCATGTTGTGAAGCTTATATTTATTTTCAATGATTATTATTAAATTTTATTGAAGTAAACTAACAAATCTGTCAAAACTTTCAGAAGTTTGCAATGGAAAATTGCAATCATGTGTATAAGGAATGAAGAATGGCCTTCTTGCTTGCCTTGAAGATCTTTTAATTGATAAAAGTCTCTTTTTTCATATAATCTCATCACTTGTAATATCTCAATAAATATTTTCAATACTCACACTATATATAGTATTAACATGAGCTTTCAAGCCATACAAGTGAACATTCATCCATTATCGAGAGACACAATACTTTAAAAAATAACAATATGCATTATGTCCGGTCTAATCGTGAGCTGTCCCATTGAGATACTATTTCAAAAATTGTGAAGGTTTTTTCAGTAGTGTTATTTTTAGCTTTTTTGCAAATGGAAAGTGTTGTTATGGTTTTATTTTCTAAATCTGACACATCTTCTTCAAGATTTGATCATTATTAGTAATTCAAATGAACTTATGTTGGTAGTCATAATAATGATTAATTTGTAAACATTGACAACACTTTACTCATAAAAATATTATATTACTATTTATCATGTTATTGAAGTATTAGCATAGTATGTTGATCAGCATGTTTCATTAAGATTAAAATAACCACAATTACAATTGGCATCAATGTCACACTTCTAACAACATTATATATCTTTCATGATCAAGATTCATTCGCAACATTCATGATTTTGATTTTCAACTTCAAAGTCAAATTTAGAATCATGTAGTCATCTCATTAAGCTTCAAGGTAGATAATATCATGTGATATAGTATTTGTTGTAAAATTTGATTAATGATCATCACAGTGATATTTCAACCAATAATTCAGTAATGAGTTGAATATATTAAGTTTTGTTGAGTTTAACTTGTGTTAATAAGTAACCTTGGTACTAGCTATATTCAGCTATGAAGGGTCTCCGAGACTGGGAATACTTAAACCTAGTTATTTCAGAATGTAAAGAGACATTTGGCCATTTATCACTACACTCTCTCATGTGTGTTCTGGTTGTGGACATAGCTCTACACTCGAATGAACCACTTTATATTGTGACTTCTTGTGCTTATCATTTTTGGATTTATTATCAATCTGATTATCAACTGGTTGTGATTATCTTGAGTGTCTCTGATTAACAAATTGGTGTCATAGTTGTGGTTTGTGAAAGTGGTTTTTTTTTTGGTTTTGGGAGACCACTAACCTGATTGAAATGTGACAGATTTTTTTGACGGTAACAGATATTTGACAATTCACTGGAAATTTGTCAAGGTTGGGATGATTCAATTGCACAAATTCAAATGATAATTTTTTATCAAGTCAAATTCAAGGAAGACGGTCAGAGGAGCAAGAGCATGCGAGTAAATTTCCAAGCACGCTAACAGGCGAAGCTAGTTGTAGAAGCGCGATAAGCTGTGCAAATTCACACTAGTCGATAAGGAAGACCTTTAGAAAATTCTATGCGCAAGCAATTTTTGGTCAAACAAAAACTAATGACAAGTCAAGGAAATCTTTCTTTTGAAGAAAGTCAAGTAGATTTGCGCGAGTGGATTCAGACGGACTAGGCACAATGTAGACACAATATTTGATCAAAAATTTTTGTCAAAATTGACCAAACCACCCAAGCGATGTCGGACGATCATCAAAATTCAACAAAATTCAATAATTTTTTCAAAAAACATAAGTCATTCGCAACCGTGCAATGCATAAGTGTGGAGCTCAAAGATGTCGGGCGAATGAGTTCGTGCGAAGGCGCACAAACGCACAAGCGCAAATCGCGGATGAGAGATTTGATCTTGCATCGACATGTGTCTTCTCCCACGGACGACTTTTCAGCCTACACCTATTAACACGTCAAGTTTATCTCACACCACGCCATTTTTGTCTCGTCACGTCTTTCCACCAACATCATATCAACCATCAAACGTGCGAGAAATGACGTGTGGCTTAGTCACATCACCGCTAGGGATGGGCATGTACCTAGCTAATTTTTGGCTAGCTAGCTAATGATCCAAGTTTAGCCGGCTAGCCGTTGGCTAAAGAACTGGTCACAAATTTTAGAAATTCAAACACATATCTTTTCATTTTGAATTTCTTTGCTAATGAAACATTCTTTGTCTTTTTTTGTGCTTGAGTATTTCTTGCTCTATGGCAAGAGTTTACATATACAGCTTACACATAAGAAATTCAATGGCAAAAATACCAAGTAGGTAGAAAAACTTTTTACACAAAAAATTCTAAAATTTTGTGTTCATGAATTGTACAAGCACTTACAGACACGGTTTACACAAGCAAAAGACAGATTACAAGAAGATTTTGTGGGTATGATGGATCCGGTTGTATTCATTTGACTTTGGACGAAGACTCTGCTAGTAGTGAAATTGTTGTTTTATCCTTATCTTCAATGGTTATATCTTTCACGGGTCGCCACACCAATAAACAAAAGCGCACATCTTGGGTTCGTTCATATTTTGTAGCTGTAACAAGATTCAATAATCTTGCTTGCATTGTGAGCAAGTTTAGTTCATAAAATTATTCAATCACTTCAGCGAACTCAAATTTTGATCTTGATTTGAAGAACAATCCTTACATCACTCGCGAATCACTTGAAGATGCATTGCCAAAAGATATTTCTCAAACCATCTTCTCAAAATCCGATTTATATTTGGAAGTGCACAATGTTATGAATGATGAGATGAAGGCAAACATCATGACATGTGTGGTAGATTGGATTATTGACACAGAGCAAAGCTTTTCTTTAGTAATGTCAGCTTACTACAGACGAACGACGAAAGCTCTAAATCGGTTTTGGCCTTATTGTTCGTGTTCAACTCTTACTCGTGCCATATCAGACTAGATGATTACCACAACCAAAGAATATTGTGATATTTTAGAAGCAATTTCGAGAAGAGTTGCAATTACTTGTGATGAATGATTTATCAAAATTCTACAAAGTTACACTTTATTAGATTGATGTAATCTGGACATTGTGTGACTACATTCTTGACTTTTAACACTTTCCACCATCTCAATATCACTAGTTGACAATGACATTTCTTTTGTAATCTTTAGTATTAGCAAATGTGCCCACAAAGATTATAGCTTAAACATCAGATAATACTAGTGAAATGAAATCTGCTTTATAACATCTACAAAATGAACTGAAAAATAAAATTGATGTCAATTTAGACTATACATGGCACCTTCGATGTGTGTGTCATATCATATCATACATCGTGATGTGATTGACAGTGAAACCATTTTTAAATCCAAAATGGATAGCTTTGCGTATGCTAAAGTCAATCTGCTCATCATCTCAAATTCGAGCTAATTTCAAGAGATTTCAAGTTTTTCTAAGGAGCGAGATCACAAGACAAATGAAGTTTCTGATGTAGACAAATGAAGTTTCTGACATGATGTAGAGAAGAAATGAAATATCATGTTTATAATGATTGATTTGTCCTACGTCTCACAAAGATCTTTCAATCTCTATCAAACATGTCCGAGCAATACAATAAGATTGTAACTATGATTTCAATTGAATGGAGAGTATTGAAGTGTTTAAAATTTTTTATTACTCATGCTTATGAAAGGATAATTCTATCTAGCGAACGATATGCAACATTATCAAATAAACATTTGGGATATGAATCGTTGAAGACACATTGCTAAGAAAACATCAACGATACGATGAACTCTGAAGTCTAGAGATGCAAGAGCATTGATGACAAAGTAGGAAAAATATGATGAGCACTTGACTGGCCCGCTGTCAATGTTGGCACTAGCACTTGATACTACGGTTCCAAAAATTTATGAAAATATATGACCCTTGACTATACGGCTTCAAGAATTCTTTGACGACAATATGATATTGAGTACACACATCAACATGATGTCTCTTTCACTTTAAAGAATAGCATCTGAAGTATGTTTATCGCTGCACATAAAGCACAAGCTTAGATATTTGAATTTAATAGTGAGCAAGATGATGTATCCAAAAAATTCATGAACTTTTTCTAGTTCACCAAAATGAGAGATAAATCATGCGACGATGCAGTGGTTTGGTAGGCAAGAATTGGCCACAAGAGTTTTACAGGATTGTCACTTGTTGCACGAGACATCTGAAGGTGCATGGAGTTTTGATGTCATCTAAGTGTGCATTTTTTTATATCAGATAGCAGTGCTATTACCATCACGGAACGTTCTCGTTTGTGCAATAATTCTATCAAGACTACCATAACGTTATGATCATGGAAGTGATTGTTGAATGAAATTAATAAAATAGCTTTGTGATTTAGTTTGTTCCGAACACTTAATTTCTTTTTTTCAATTTGTTGGTTAGAAGTTACAAGATTATGCATATGAAGTGTTATCTTTGCTTAATTTCTGTTCTACTTGTATATATTGATATCTTGAAATATAATATATGTTTGATTTCATTTCATTGCAAAAAAATTGCAAATAATTTAGCTTATTAGTTTCCTTAAACTATTACTTCAAAAATGAAAAAAATGATTTTTACCTTTATTAGATTTAGTTCAATGTGTCATCTAACTATTTCGTGAAGTGTAAATTGTGTTTAATTTCTATTCTATTTGTCATACATTGAATGAATTCATGATTTTTTTTTATACAATTTGCATATGAAATAGACAGAGAGTTTTACAAACTAGATTGAATTTTCTCTTATGAATGAATATGTGGATGAATCCGTGAAGATCAAATCCAACTTTATGATGATCGTTGGTCGTATCACTTGCGTTCTGAGATTACAATATGCATATTTCAGAATAGATACTCTCCATATATACTTTGAACTGTTCATGGGAAAGAAAAATTTTCCAACTGCGAACACATGCAAGATGGACAAAGCATTAATAGTTGAATAATAAGAAAAATGTCCTTTGAAACCTATTGATACGAGTATTGCGGCTAGTTTTACGGAGTCAATGACTAGTCATCTTACAAAAAAAATTTAGCCGGCTAGCCATCAGTAGAGCTGTAATCATCCCTAGTCAGCGCAGACAAATCATGCAAGTGGCCGATCGACAGGGAGATGACATGTGGCGAGCAAAGAACAAGCGGTGTGGTACGATCAAATCGCTGTTTGACCTTTGACGCAAAGGACACGCATATAGCGCCACGTAAGCGCGGTTTGTAAGACCGGATGTTGTATGTGTGAAATAGAACTAGAAGTTGCCAATGAGATAATCATGATTAGCTTAATTATGACTAAATCAATCTAGTTATAACTATGTTTAGCTATAATGTATATACTTGGAAAATTAATTAGATAAATTCTAGAAGATTTGAGTGATCACTTATATCTAGGGATCAGTAAACATCTAGAAGGTTTAAGAGACTAATGATATGTTGCCACGTATTGATAACTAGTCAAATTTATTATGGTTTATCTTTTTAAAAGTAATTTAGATAAGAATTATCATTTGTTATTAAGGTAAATTTTTAAGTATTATATATAGAGAGAAAGTGAAGAGACTTTCAAGCAAATTTGGAGATTTCATAGTTAAAAACTTGTTTCATATATGAAAGATTGACAATTTTTAGTATCTTGAATTGTCGATGTATGTCTGAATTTGAGTGATAAATTCAGGTATAATGTGAGAGAGTGTTTGGGACATGTGTATGAGTAATAATCTTAGTCTTCTAGAACCATGATAAGTTAATGCAAAGTCATTTGAGCTAAACTTGAGTGAGAGTCAACCGCGAGGTTGTAGGACATAACACATGACACGCATAGAATGAGGTAGATGCGTAGAAACTGCGACGAGTCGCCACGTGATATGACACATGTCGCTAGCAGGTCCTACGTGCGGACACGTAGGCTTACACAGTGTGGACAACGAGGCTCAGACAAGTGGAGCGGAGTTGATTCATAGCTGTTTGAAATTTATAAATTGTATATATAATAATTTTAGAGTTTTCATTTTTCTTTAAATATTTTTATAGTAAAATCATATAAGTTTGTAACATATTTTATTATAAAAAATTAAAATTCAATGGAATATTAAACTTTGAAATAAAAAATCATCTATCAAATAAAATGAAACCTTTTGCATGAAGTTTTGAGGAATGTGATATAAATACAAGTATTTATATGATAGAGCAAAATATTTAAAAAAACTTAAACAATATGCATATATTGAATAGTCAAGAGGAGCAAAATCATATGATATGTAGCATCAATTTTTTCTAAATTATATTTTTTATGAAACACAAAAAAGTACTAATGAAACAAATATTATAAATTATATGCAGAATTAATTTCCTGTAACCAAATGTTTTAGGACAAATTATTTATTTAAAAAAAATTTTTGAACAAATTTTGGCAGAATTATGTATACACATATAAGTTGTGAACATAATTTATGATAATTACTCATCTGCTGAATTTGAGATATTATAAAATAAGGATATTTTTTGATTTAGTTTTGAAGATTGAATATAGTAGATTTTTTAAACAAAATATCATATTTTTTGAAAAATGATAATTTGAATCAATAATGTGTTAAATTTACTTTTTATTACAAAATTCTAAAATAATAAGTTTGTTACAAACTTATTTTCAATGGTTTGATGATACATTATTAATTTTAGTTAATAACATTGTTAAAATTTGTATCTTTGATAAAATAATGTTTAATATTGGCGTACTTAACTTTGATATGTATCATGATGTAATGCAATTTGACTATGATAATAAAAAATAACATCAGCATGTTAATCAGAAATCAATTCAAAAAGATACATTGTATTTTTGCTTTTGATACATATTAAACTTTCATAGATTTTTTATTTATGTATCCAAGTTATTTTAAAAAAAATGTCAAATTTAAGAAAATTGTTGATAAATGTTTATTCATAGTTAGCTTAAGGTAGAACACAAAGTTGTTGATATTTGATATCAATATATAAAAAAAAATTCACTAGAATTAATTTTTGAGCTAACTTAAAAAATTTATTTCACAAGTGTTCAATGAATGTTTATTAAATGTAAAATGTGTTCACTTATCTTGTACATAAAAAATAAGAATATATTATCTAATGTTCATCATCAAATACGTGAGTTTGCTTGCTGTAGTATAACAACAAATTAAAATCTAAAATTCTACATTGAAAATTGAATTGGAAATAGATAAGATAGTTTTTTAAATTGAATTAAATCAATTGAATTAAAGAATTTTTCATATTAAACCTATAAGAGAAAATTTGAAATTCTTGTCTTGATAATTTTTTTTTAATTTATAAAAATTTTGAATATCAAAATGTAATATAATATTGTACACATATTATTCATAAATTAAAATAAACATAAATAAAACAATCAAAATATTAATTTTCATAATTCTTTGATTGACACAACAATAATCAGTAAGTAAAATAAACATTTAATAAAAAATTAGATAATAACATCACAACATTCACATTCATAGTTTGTGCAAGACAAGATCAGGGATTCAGGTGCTGTTGCATATGTTTCACTACATGTTTCGATATTACTCTCTTTTGTTTGTTTGAAAGCCTGGATCACATCAAATTGTTGCCGTTGCACTATGATTCAGGTTAAGACTACGGGGATGAAGTAATGTTCAGTAACGTTAAACCCTAATCTATACTCAATTTCACCGGTTAAATTTTGGTCTCAGTTGAAGATAGAGTAAGTTACTTGATGGGATACTAATGAAACTCAACAAACTTGATAGGATCCAACAGGTGTCATTTTACCCCATGGACCCCTTGAGGGCTCTATAGCCCACCCTCAACTATGTGTCCAATACCATGTGGGGATAATTTTGGGTAGAACCTCTCCAAAATTTTCCGGATGCAGTTATGGCAAGATCCTATCAAGAGTACTTCAGCATCATGGTGCCCTCTGCTTTCTGACACATGTTGCAAAACTATTTTTCACGTAACAAATCTCCAAATTATTCTCAGGGAGAGAGTATTTTAGACACTCTCCACACTACAACACAAATTATCAAGATATAAAAACTTTTATTGCTACATGGCAGATGTAGAGCTGGGTGGCCGTACAATGGGGTCCCATCCGGTAACATGAAATCTGTTGCGTCCTATCAAGTAATATGAGTTTTCCTAGAGTCTTATCAAATAATTTGAGTTTCCCAATGGTACCATCAAGTAATTATCTCTTGAAGATAGCACTAATGTGGAATGTAAACCTAGTCGCGGTCAAAAAATGACTACATTTAGAACTAGTAAATCATGGAAAGAAATATCAATAAGTGTAAAAAAACTATGTTGCACAAATAACAAACATTGTGAGGATTTTCATGGAGGAGATGAACAACTAAAAGACAAGTAGAAAACAATGTATCACTAACAAAAGAGGATTAAAATAGATTTGAAACCAACTGGTAGTGGAGGCGCCCTGGTTTTTCTCATCGCCACAAGCAAATAGCTCGTAACAATTAAAAAAATAACAGCTAGGTATACATACTTCCAATCTGTTGCATCCACTAAAAAAACATTTAATTCAATCTTGTGATTATCTGATTGAGTTGAATTTTGGAAATGTTCATACAACAGGCAATGCAATGCCAAAAAATACCAAAAGAATAATGAGAACTAAAGGCCCAGTCTTGTAAACGAGACTCATAGTATAAGAGCTGCAATATAGACTTGTGCACGAATGAAACTGATGGTACATCTAAAATTTTATCTCAATGAACTCCAAATCTGAATTCGAAGCAAACAAGTTATCAAAACTGTACACGACTCAATACAAAATGAATCCATGATTCATTTCATGCTACAAAGAAAATTTTGTAGGACGAAAACAGAGGAACACCTTTAATTTCAGTTCTCAGAGGTAGTTGGAGTGATCGGGATTTTAAATACAGCAAGGTGATAGGGGTTTTTTTCCACCGAAATAAAGCCGGAGTGGGCCTAATGTCCATGCAACGTGGAGTGCGAGGGACTGCCGTGGATAGGCTTCGAGCTCAATTTCGAGAGGAAATTATGTAACCGCGGATTCAATTTCCGGATAGATAGATGCGGTCTGTGAGTTCTGTGCAACATCCCAAAGCAGAACTGGTCTCAATTGATGTCTGGCAGAGGGAACGTGCACATGATTTGATTTGATTCAATTTTGATTTGACCGCGAGAGTCAATCTTGTATGCGTGGCGGGCTACTCTTTGATCGAATCTTGAGAGGGCGGGTTGTTCTCCTCAAGATTCATGTCTATCTTTCGCCGTGTCGACATTGCCCTCGGAGTCGGTCTTGCGGGGAAATGTTGGAAATATGAATCAGGCTATTCAGGAGCTCGAGGCGTTACGACTCAAGGACACAGCTCAAGTAACTTTTGTTTCCGCGTAGAATCGAAACAGTCTGTGCTGCAATCTTCAGTGACAGGGTAGTTTCGTTCTAGTGTACAAGCAAATGAGATCACAGTGCAGTAGCATGTTGAAGCCATTGTGTGCGACGCCACGCGCCACGCGTTTCAAGGACCTGCCATCAACAGATAACTCTACCTCCGAGCAGTGGGTCCGTGAGACTCTAGATAAACACTGTCTGAGAACTCGTCGTCAGTGCGCTCATGGGCCATTTGCATGTTGATTTTTATGGAACAAACATTGTCTAACCAACAGCTCTTCCTATTCACATTCACTCGCCCTTCTTATTTTCTCCTGCAGACTTCGTCATTACCACGAACGTGTTTGCGAAAGCTTTGCAACACAAGCTGCAAGAAGCGACCAGAGCGTCACCACCTTCTTGGTCGAGAAAAAATCCAGAGGTACGCTGAACTCCTCGCAGATTTATATGAGTTTGTTCTGAATGTAGCAGTATGATTTATGTACTCATTTTATAGGTTCGATTTGATGTAAAATTCCTACGGAGATGGAAATTGTGCCAAGCACACCATTACTGTTCTAAATATCTATGGTAAGCCGATTGTTTCCTATGGAATCAATTTCCAAGAATTTGGTTGATCACTTTTTTTGCTAGATTGCTTCCAAGACGCTAAGGAGCTTCTCTATCTACAGAAATTTGATCGCAACATTTTTCCTGAATCGAACCATCGATTATTTTTTTAGATTCTGCCCAGCAATAACTCTTGTCCGCATAATCTATTGCTTTGACAATTTTGACAATTCTCAAACAGTTTGAACTTCCTAGGATTTCATGGACTTCTCTCGTCAGGGCGAAGTCCAGTATCGACGTCCACAGGCAGAATGTGAGCGTATGAAAATTATGAATGAGATGAATATGAACGATATTGCTGTATCACCCTCGCATCTTTCTCTGTACCTCTGTTTTAGAGTTCAGTCTTACATCGGGAACCTGACAGGTTATTGCAAGGAGTGGCCGGTCTTTACTGTATGAGGATTCTGACACCTATGTGCTGATGGAGCCCGGTGAAGAAGAGGTATTCGTCAACGAATCGGAGCTACGACAGAGATTGAAGTCATGGCTTGTCAATTGGCCAGGAAACGAGCTTCCTGACGATCTAGCGAAATTAGGAAGGTTAGACGATGTGATAGATTACCTTGTTGCTTCAGCTTGTGAGCTCGATCTCGGTGGTGGTATGGGTTCTATACAGTGGTATCAGGTGAGATTGGAGTAAAGTCATGGCCAGATGTCTTTACTCCCCATCGTGGCCTAATGACTAAGGCCGTATGATTGTATCTACTTGCACTTGAAATCAAAACGTCTGTAGATTATCCCAGAATGCATCCTTCGCATGACTCCTTTCCCTTTTGTTTGGGCTTCTTCCATACACGCCTTTTTGGAAATAATCTGCGAATTGCCAAATGTGTTCCTTGTGGATGTTAGTCACCAGTACAATATTTGCAGGTATAGTCGGTTATGACCCAAGAGTGTCTAGTGTCAAAGTGTTGTCTGTAGTTGTGCGCAAGGCCGGTAGCCACACCAGTGGCATTGCTCTTCACTCACTTCTCTTTTTTCCCGAATCTATGTTGTAAACCTTCCAGGTCTTCTGTGCCCTTGATGTAGAGAATCGTAGAGTTCAGCAATCAAAGTAGCTCCTTCGGAGGTTTGCTTGTGGTGCTCACGTCAAGTGTAGGACCACATGACAGGTCAGGTAAATAAACATCTATACTGAGAATCAACTTCACATCATTTTGAAATAATCTAATAGAATAAAAGAGGTCAAAATTTCAAACAAGTTTTAATAGTATAACTGTTAATTTTTTTGTTAAGGAGAATTTTAATTCATTAGCAACTTTGTATTAAATAACATGTGTAGTTTTTTTTCAGAGAGTATGTTAATGTATAGAGTTACATAAATGTTTGAAATCCATAATAATCTATCAAAAGTTATTTGAAATCAACTCGGAGATCACAAATCATTTTTAGTAATGCAAACAAATACCCAAGATAACAATTATAGCTTTAGGGCTGATTATCACTAACTTTTGATTCATATGGCCTTTTGATGACTCATGATATGCCTAAAACTTTAGAGGTATTTATTTGATGTGATACTATTTGAACCTAAAGTGTTTATCGGGAACTTTAAGTTGCGTTTTACACTATAGAATCACTCCGAAAGTACATTATCACACATGTTCTAGTATGAAAAGCTGATGTAGGTAGTGGAAATGTTACAGCCAGATTGTCTCGTAGTACTCATTGAATCCTTCAACTCTCCACTCAGCATAGTCGGATGCAGATACTTGTTTGTCCGAGAATTCTCCATTGCACCAAAATTTGTAAAATTGCATGACATTTGAATTCACTAGTACTTCGTTTCCTTCCCTATGAAATTTACTCTGAAGATTCCACACGTTCGCTGTTGCTCACTGCGTCTAATTTGTGATAGCTCAAAAACTCTATGCACTTGTGACAATGTCTGTCACTGTTCATAGTTCTGAAATTTTATGAATGCTAAAGGTTCACTAAAGTTCATATATGATGCGAGCTTTTAAGTCTATAAGAACAACTTTTAGAAGTTGGGATTACATGGAGTAAAACTAAACTTGATGGACACATCAAGCAATTTAGGTTACAATGTTATCCCAAGAAATACCTCTAAAACTTCAACATTCCACCTCTATGCTTATGTTTAAATAATATCTCACATAAATTTTTTATGCATTGCAATATCAATTTTTTCTTGACACTCTCAAGATATTTTTAAAATCCAAACTTCTATTGATGAAACAAATTTTCTTCCAGAGTTTAAAAAAACTTGTTCAAGATTTGTTACTTTCAAGATTTACCTTAGTTATGATTCAACAAAGATAATTTTGGTCGTTCAGACTAATATTTATGATAAAATATCTAGAAACATGTCATTGATCTACTTAGAAATCATGATGATTTTATATCTTATAAAACTATTTAGATTATTTTGCCAAGTGTAGAATTGATAATTGAACTTAGTCATAACTAGCAAAACTATAACTAATGATCCTAAACGAGATAAACAAAATAAATTATTTGATTAATTGCACAATCAATACACTCATATCACTACAAGTCTTACAATGTCAATCTTAAAGCTTTCGTAAATGCTTTTTATTCAACCTTTTACATAATTTCATGTGCAAGTTGAATTTAAATTCATGCAATTTAGGTCTAAACATCTCTAGATTTTGTACTTAAACTCCGCTAATTTATCAACTACTTCAACTCTAAATTGTTTAAATATAGACAATGTCAACATGATATTGCAAATATTGAAGTTTATATTGAAAGTCATTAGTTCTTTGTGAAATTGATGATCTTTCATCATTAAACTTCAAATATGTGCATCTTTATTGGTTCAAAAATCAATAAGCTTAGATTGAACATTTTTGACCATTTGCTTTATAGCAGTGTCTTTTTCTAATTAATTTTTTTTAACCTTCATAGATGAATCGTTGTGCCATTTGATCACTTTGTGCATGGCAAAAAGCATCTTTGAAATTTTTTTTTTGCAAAGATTTTAATCCTTGAACACAACTTCGTGCAAATTCATCTAATTTCAGGATTCTAATATTTGATGTATTTGTATAAGTAAGATTTTTTTTTTTCAATTATTTGAACTAAAATACTTTTGGTACCAACATACTTTGGGAAAAAATCTAAAGACATCATTTTTTGTTAATCATCTTGTGTTTGTTCTCTTTTTTATATAAGTTGTTTATTTTGATTTTTCTTCAGTTTTTTTTTAATCTCTATAAACATTTCAGCATATGAAAAGATTGCTTCAACTTGATCAACTTCATCAATGCATCTTAAAAGATCAATTGATAATTTTGTTTTAAATTTTTTTGAATCTATTTTTAAATCTTTAATATAAATTATGTGTTTAAAAAATCAATTTTTTTCACATTCAAAAATGCATATTCAAAATTGAATTAAAAATTTTCAAAAAATTGAATTATTATGATAAGATAATGCATAAAATATGTGATTGTATAAGGATGTTAGTTGTGCAATCAATAACAAATCATTTTTTCTTAATCAGAATAATTCTGGCTATCAAGTTTATACATATGAGATATGTAAGAAGCTTCTTTAATTTGTGAATGTGATCTATTTTTATCTTTGTGGTAATAGTTTAAATTTAAAATTAAGTATGACTTTGACTAATACCATTGATTATCACATAAAGTTTGATAGTTTAAATCATGATGAGCTATTGAATAATCATCAGAATTTTATTTTAATGAAATTCAATGCGAAGTTTAGATATTGAATGCAATTTTTTCTATGAAAAAAATATTATTATTCCTTATTTTTGCTCAAATTCATTAATGATAGGTATCATAAAAATTATAAAATATTCATAGCATTACTGTAACCATCTTCAGTTAGTAAGAACTAAAGTAAAGGTTACTCTAAATGTTGATATATATACTTTAGAGTACACTAGGCGTAGCTGCCACGTTAGCGATCCGCGCACTTGGTAGGTTGAGAGTAGGTTTGCTAGTTGATAGCGTCACGTGAGCAATCCGTGTGCTTGTTAGGTAAAGATTGAATGTGTTAGTTAATGTGTTAGTTGGGAGCGCCACGTCAGTAATGAGTGTGCTTGTTAGGGTTATCCGCTACGTTATCCATCCACTAGAAGTAGAATGGATGGTGGGGATAATATCTTATCTCCTTGTACTTGTTGGTGAGAGTTATATAAGAAAAAGTAGAACCATTGTTGGTATCTCTCATTTTCAGAGTTTACGTTTCTATCTTCGAGTGAACTTCTCTCTAAACCCTAGTGTTACAATAACACGGATAAACTGTTAACGCTAGTATAAAGTTTTATTTTAACCTAAACCCTAAATGTAGTTTTAAATTGATACCTTGAAGCTTTTTTGAATTTGATTATGATCATCAAATTCATGTTCAAAATCATGTTGCTCATGCTTAGTCAAGTTTGAAATTTGATATATGTCTATAAAATATAGTTTTTTTTTTCCATCTTTGTGACAACATTTTACATATTGTAATTCAAAAATATATTTTATATTTTCTTTTTCTTTTGAGTGTTAAAATGTTATACAATATATATTTAAATTTCTATTATACATTCAAATATTATACATTTTTTCTGTAATAATTCTTTATTAGAATTTTGATGAAAATTTAGCTAAAATAACAATCAAATATACATGCAAACTGTTGACGTTAACTCCGGTTAAGGAGTAACCTCACATTATAGCTATTTATAGCTAGGTGTGTAGTTGGCTTTGGCTATTAATATAACCACAAGGCTTCTACTCAAGATGTATTGTGTATTCACTTGTCAGTAAACCTTCTCCCCTGTTTCAGCCGTGGACGTAGCTCTTGAGGATGAAACCACGCTATATGAGTGTCTTGTGTATAACTAACTTGGCTTGAATGACTCTTGGTTTCACATTAAGAAATGATATCAAAGTGATATCTGATTCGGAGTTTGTGTGTCAAAGAGAAAATATTTGTGACGCGTGACATTTTTTTTTCGGTGATAGTTTCTAATGCATGATGCTTCTGACTAGTGAAAGTTTGGTTGCCAAGAGTTTTTTTGAAGTTTTTTGAGAGTACAATTTTTTTTAACAGAGATATGTTTTAGTTCAATGTTAGTGGTAGTGACAATTTTTCTGAAATAAAGTTTTGAGTTTTGATAGTTTGTTGTTTTTTTTTGAGTCATTCACACTGGTGTCAATAAAAGTTTTTTGAGTTTAACACGGTTTTAATGACAAATTTTACTGTTGCAATGGCTAACCTGATTTGATATGTGTTTGGAAGAAGACTAACCTGATTAGGTTGACAGAAGTATGAGCAAAATCTTTAGACATCAGGCTGATGTGTTGCTTGACGAAGATCATTATGCAGGGGAATTGCTTGATTTTGACTAGCGGTATGTGATCTTCTTCTCGGAGAGCCTGGGTCTGTGGAACCGATATTGAGGCAGGCTTGTGTGTCTGGCCTTTTGAGTTTGCTTCGTGCCTGCTTGATTTTCCTCTTGGAGAGCCTTGATATGTGAAACCGATACTGAGGCAAACTTGTGTGTCTGACCCTTTGAGTTTGATTCGTTTTTGCTTGATCTTCCTCTTTGAGAGTTTGGGTCTGTGAAATCGATACGGAGGCAGGCTTGTGTGTCTGTCGCTTTGAGTATGCTTCGTGCTTGCTAATCTATAGCTCCTTTTAGAATTGTCTGTCTCCGCACAGGAGCTTCTGGTTTGCCTCCCTGTGTGCATTTTGGCTCGGCATGACTCCATGTGCGCATTTTGGCACAACACGAGAC